CAGTTCAATAAACTGTTGCCTTAATTAACACCAGCTTGGTTTTTTTGAACAAGCTCCAGCACAGAAGTTCAGCACAATGCCAGCAGTTATATAAAGGCTGAGCCTGTCTTTTCTCTGTGTGTAGACTGAGCCTCGATGCACGTTTTTTTTAAGATAGAGATTGGTGGTAGCTGTGACTAGAGCATAAAGTAATTATTAATAAAGTGTCAATGTGTTTTACACACGGATTCTGTACCATATCCAAGAATGTAAGAACCACCTTTCTCCCACCAAAGTCTGTCTGGAATATGGCCCCACCGTGTTCCTTTACAAAAGGAAAATATTCTCGTCTCCACTTTACACATGGGTAAACTGAGGTACCGCAAGGTTAATAGCCTGCTGTTTCAGAATGGGGTGTCAAGCACCTGCAGTAAACATGGATTTTAACAGGATTTGGAGGAAGCTCAGCACTTCTAAAAAGAAGCCCAGAAGACACTTTGTAGGAAAGGTTTTAAGTGACTTCTCACACTCTCAGCATGCAGTGCTCCGGCCACCCAGTGATGCTACTTGGCTGCTTCCACATCATTTACAAGCTAACACGCGGCTTCACTGCACCTTGGACGTTCTTCCGAACAAAGGGCTTTTCTCTTTTTTCTTTCTCTCTGTCCCCCCCTCCCCGAGGGCTGGCCTGTCCCCTCCCGTGTGGTGGGCGTCTTTGGAGCAGCGAGGACGACGGGACTTGCAGGGCTCCCCCACTCCTTCACAGCCGAGGGGGAAACGCTGGTGGCAAGCAGCCTTGGGAAGGGTGGAGGGGGGGTCAGAAGACGAAAGCGGTACTTGCAAATCCTAATTACAGTTAGCAGGAATTAAGTAATAGTCACTAACCTCTTCAGCTCACAGAGGAGAAACGTGATCCCGTTTAATTCTCCTCCGCTGCCTGCAGCTCCTTCTTACACAACACTGCAGCGCCAGCATATCGCCCTGTTGCTATCACTGCAGCAACACCCCCTTGGCCAGGAATCCAATAAGGACACCACAGGGGCGGGCTACAGCCAGAAGCAGCTGCAGCAGCAGAGAGGCTGGTACAGGCGCGGGCACTGAGGCTGGGAGCTTTCGCCTAGAAAACTCCGAGAAAGCTGCACATGGCTAGCGAGGGGCTGTCACCTCCCTGGGGACCTGTGCGACACCCCGGTTAAGCCCACGCAGCCGTCACCCCAGCCAGGCGCTACCCAGAGCCCAGTCATGCAATGGCTTGCAGACACTGGTACACCAGCAGCGCTCATCTCCACCCGGCCGCATCCGTAGGGTTTACGCTACAGGCTGAGCCCATGCTCAGGAAACTGGGAGTTTCGGCAGTGCCAAGCAGGAAAGAAATCATTCTGTGCCTGGCTTTGCCCGAGCAGGCAGCATACAGAAAGCGGCTGCTGGGACAGCCCAGGCCAGGTGTTACACAAGCTCTTACTCAAGACTGTGTGTCTCCCTTCCTACAGGGATTGCTTCCTGACCCACAACATACTATGCTTAAGCACTAGCTATTCCTCGGAGAGCCACTTTTTACTCAGATCTTACTCCTAGCCGACAAAGGTTCTTTATCTACACACAACAGGACTTTCAGCTGCTTTATTCAGGGCTTGGAAGATAAAAGCGCAGGAGGGTGCTGCTATTTTCCCCCAGGCCAGTAGTTCCTCCAACAAACACCGTATGAAATGAGGATGGTCTGAATTCCACAGATCATTCTATACCATGCTGATGCTGGGCATTCACAGAGCATGATAGAACCTAAAACTGTGTCACATTGGGACTACAGGTACAAAGGATCAAATTCTGTACTCATTCACCGCAGATGTAAAGTAAAAATAACTCTGGAGAAATCAGTAACTGGTTTTTTTTGCACCCGAGTGTGTTCAATTCAACCTGTAGTGGTCATACCATAAGGCATCTGTCTTCTTCCTATAAAACTTTAAAATTCAATGCAGCTCTAGATTACTTAAATTCTTTATTCTGAAATTCTGCAGGTTGGGACTGTAAGAGTGATAGACCCTTCTTTCCATCTTTTCCCTCTAATTTCTTCTGACCCATTAACTTCCTCACCAGCAAGTCTTCAGGAATTCACTCGGCCTCCTCCCAGCTACATTTGCTTTTCCAGAGTCACAGTTTCTGAGCCAGTTATGGAGTCGTTAACTCCTGTAAAACTTCCGTGGTCTAACATGACTTCACCTGAACATGGGGTTTATACTGACATTACCATGCTGGATGTTTCAAATATGTCACAAGATATGTTTCAAAATTCTCTCCTTCCTCTCCCAGACACATTGTATTACTAGAGGCTAAAGCACAGACCTCGGTATCAGCACAGTCATTACACAACTGCAATAAGGAAAAGCTCCAGAGAGTAAGCGAAGAATTACATACAAGACTAACGAGCAGGAATTTTGAAGTCCATCAAAGCATGAATTAAGGTCTGCAACATATGTGTGGTATTGCATAAAGGAGGATTGGCAGACCAGGAGATATGGCATTTAAAGATATACATCATGAGTTCAACATATGGGACTGCTAATGACTAGCACGTGACTGTATGCTTAGCATAAAGTAATGAATCAATTAGCACATGATAGGAAACCATAACGAATAGCAGAACATATGAAAGAATGCATATGGGAGGGATTAGAGGCAGATATACCTCAGAGCCTTTGGATTCAGTAATTGTGCTCCCATTTGTACAGCCATGTGTTCTACAGGATGTGGGACCTGTCCAATCTCATCATTAACCTTGTTAAAAAACAAAACAAAACAACAAACCCCTACTTTCCAGATGGATCAGCTCCCAAAACCAGGTGAGAGTGGCAACACGCAGCCAAACAGGAGGGCACAACTGCCTCATTCCACCACACTGTGGAGTTAGGTTAGCTTAAACCAGTCAGGTAACTACTTGCAGTTTGATCTCTGTATACAGACTCGAACACACTCTGCCATAGGTTTGTTTGAGGTGGCAGATAACAAACCCAACATTTAAATGAACTCCAGACCTGGTCAAGATTGGGGGGGTGGGGGGAGTGGTTCCTCCAGAGGTGGAATGAGACACGGGCTCTGGAAGAGCCGTTTGTGGCCATGAGATGAGCGTCCGGCATGACAAGAGAAGCTAGGGTCCCCACGGTGGTGACAGCAGGCAGGGGGAAACACCAGCCTTGGAAGAAGCAGCAGCAAATAGCTCCCAGCGTGGATGTAGCTCTACTGGTGTATCGATGTCTTACACAGTCTGTTTCTCTTTCCATATGGAAAGAGCAGAGAGAGTATCTATAAATAATGAGTACTTTTCAATACCAATAAAACTTCACCAAAATTGGATGGGTATTGTATAGCGTTCATCATTGCAAAATTACAAGGAGAAGGCCTGCAGAGCTAGTTAGGCCAACACAGGCATAGCTGGGAACTGTGGACAAGCTTTTGGCAGAAAATCCTTCTTCAGGTCTGAAGCATATTAAATAGATTTTTCAGAGAGTAATTAGATATGTAGGTAGGAGTCAGACCACCACTGAAGGTAAAGGCAACCGATTCCCACCTGGAAGGGATGTTAGTGGAAAGGCAGGAGGAGAGAAAGAAAGGTTAAAAAACTTGGAGCTTTGCATACAAGACAGCCTCTTAACAGGGCTTCTTAGGAGCGTAGGAGGATTTCCCACTAGGCTGGGCCACCCGCTCCCTTTTTTGTCTTGTATTTCTCATTGTCTGGTTTTTGGTCATATCTGCACATCGTTTTGTTTTGCTGATTGTCTTTCCATGCCGTGTTTCTCCCTGCTCTCACCTTCCATGGTCCCACGAGCGCTGCAAGTCCTAGCAAGCAGATATATTAATTAATTTCAGCTACAACCTAGCAACGTCTCACTCCTCCATTATTTTGTCAGGAACAACTAAGGACTGCAAAATAATGTAATCATCATTCTGATGATAGGAGTTGACTGGCAACCACTGGAAGCCCTCCACGGGAAGAAACAGTTTTATTTGGGAGAATTCAATAGCAGACAATACTCCACTAAATCACAACGGTAAGCCAAAAAGTGTAAATAGAAGCTGGAAGCTACGTGCATAAGAGAACAAACTGGCTTGGCAACAGCCCTGAGAAGAATGCCTGATTCAACTCCTCAGCCAGGAAGAGCATACAATAAATATCAAAGCAGGTACAATACACTACAAAACAGCAGCAGAACACACTCTGAAATTATTAGTATGCTCATCGTTTAATTTCAGATGAATCAAAACTGAGAGCCAAGGCTCAGGATCCCGTAATCCAGTGGCGCTCGCGCACTTTCCAAATGCTACAGCCTAAGTGCTGAGCTCAGTGACAGCTCGGGAGAGCCCGCTTAAATAAACTCCGACAGGGACATCAGCTTATGTGGTACAATGATGAGGGATAAATTTGGAATGAGAGAGATAAGCTAAAGACAGCTGTAATTAAGCTAAGTATGCATATCGGTGTATGGAGTCAGATCATCAGATTAGATCCATTGCGTTTTCTTCAGGGATTGCTCGAAAGACGCTTACAAAAATTCTGTTGGGTTTTTCAGTTTTATTTTAAGGCATAATTTTTATGGTGTCCCTCGGTTTGGGGCTTGGCCTGGAAAAACAAAGACACCACACAAGAGAGCGGATCTCAGGCCGAAGCAGCAGGTTCAGGTGCGTCCTGGAGTACCGGCAGGGCGCTGACGGGAGTCGGGTTACAGGCAGGCCCGCGCTTCGGCACGCCAGCGGGCCGGGAACCGCAGCCGTCTCTTCACAGGTTTCCCCCGGTTCATCCCCGCGGCCGAGGCCACGGTTGCGGGACACGGGCCACCTCCGGCGGAAAGGGCGAGGCGCAAACCCCTACCCCCGGGGAGAGAAGAAACACCCCCCCGGTTTAAACCCAGGCGGGCCCAGCGCGGCCGCGACGACACCCGCCGGCATTCTCCCCAACTCTCCGCCGCCCGCCAGCTCCCCCTGCCGCGCCCCGCCGGCATCGCAGGCCGCGGCAATGGCGGCCCCCACGGCCCACGCGTCAGCCCTTCCGCCGACCGCCGCTGCCGTGAGTGGGGAAGGGCAGCCGAGCCCGGGACGCGGTGACGGCCGTTAGGGCGGGCCCCCGCCGCCCCCTCCCCGACTGAGCCACCTGCGCCGGCGGCGGGCTCGGCGCTGCACAAAATGGCGGCCGCGGGGCGGGAGGGGGGCCCGGGGGTGGGTTTGCAGCGGGAGAAGGGGGCCCGGGAGTGGGTTTGCAGCGGGGGAGAGCCGGCAGGGCCCCGGCGGCTCTGTGAGGGGAACAGTGGCCGCGGAGAACAGCAGACAGCTGGAGAGATGGTAGGGGTGAAAGCGGAGGCGCTAACCGGGTGGCACTGCGTGAGGGAAGCTGTTGGGTGAGGTGGCCGCAGGCCTGCTGAGCGAGGAGTCTTAGACCGGTAAGAGAATGAACGAGTGCAGTAATTACGCACACATCATCTCGCAGTGCGATTACCAGGACCGTGTTAGCGGTAACTGCACTTTAAATACACCTCACCCGCTTTTAGAAGTGGGATGCAAGGCAAAGCTATCTAGCAAGCTACAAACAAAGAAAATACTCTAGCTGCTGTAAAGACCTGCTCCTCTAATGCTGGTTTCACCCACTTAAATATCATTTCTAGAGATGGTGCTGCCCACGGGAGCACTGCCAGCTCCCACGTGGGTGGGTTTGAGGTGGAGGACGCATGGGGTGCCATCGCTTCTGCCCCATGGCCAGCGGGCACAGAGGGCCATGGCAGATAACATCCCTTGGGCTGAGATACAGTTTAAAACAGGCACATGCGCATAGTACCTTGTGCTGTGGAAAACACAGTGGTAGAAGCACAGCTAGTGGAAATTTGAAGAAGTAGGGCAAGCGTAAAGCAAGTCAGTTGCAGTAACTCATCCACATAAAGAACGCTACAGTCAGATTTGCTTCATCATTCAGGTACAACTTGAGAAATGATCAAGTTGTCTTGAGCATATTTAATATTCCGACACCTCGAAGAAAAGGAATTGCTATGTTTCTTTCTCTAAAAATTGAAACTCTCCAGTTTAAGACTACTCTCATCACTAAACCAGACAAGGTTTCCCCTGTCCCTTCTTCCTGGTGAGGCTAGTTCCTCCTGCCACCTAGCCTAGTTGGTTTTGACTCAAATCAATTACTTTCTGCTGATTCACATGAACTCCTAAAGTGCAAGAAGGGAGCATGTAGCGTAAGGTATAAGAGTGAGCTGGATTGCTTCTTTTACAGACAGTTTTTGATAAACTGAAGTATTGAAACAGAAAAATGAGCCTTCCCCCTTAGGCCAGCCTCACAGGCTGGAGTAATAGCAGGCTGTGACAGCAAGATGGCCCTATTCCACTGCCCAGCTGTACATCGTGCTGTACCTCTTGTATCAGGTTTAGGGATCAGCTGGCTTTTTGAAAGTTGGTTTTCACAGCTTTCTGGACATGGCATACACTGCAGCTGCACAGTCCAGCAGACGGGAGGGAGAAGGTGCATGAGCACCCCTTCCAGTAGCAGCTCACAGCTGCACTTAAATACAATGTTAAACTGCACCTACTCTTTGTTTTCAGTCTAAGCTTTGACTCAAATTTGAGCAGTAAACTGGTGATTCATAGCCCATATTAGAGGTTCTCAAACTTGACTAGGGGTGTGGTAGAGAAAGATGCGTGCATGTTGACAGATAACAAAATACTGCCTTTCTGGCAGCTTAGTGCCTAGAGATCCTTTTGTCTTAGTTAAGACTTGACAAGAATTGCTGCCCTTGCTGTCTCAACGTAATAATTTAAGGTGCTGAAATATCCCAAATCATCCCAATTCCATTAAACACAAAGTGCAAAGAAAGGTTATCTTAAGCAATGTAGCAATTTTACAGTTGTTGCATTTATTCCCCTGGGGAAGAAAGGGTTATCATGAAGAGGGGTTGAAGAGGTTAGTCAAAATTAATGTATCATTTTTTTTGTTAGATGAGCTTCAATTTAGACTACTGTAAATTGAATGAAAAAACATGGAGAATGGAGATAAGGAGCTTTTAGGATTAAAAGAAAAAATAAACCCCAAACCCTTCATTACTATCTTACAGCTTTTTCTAAGTAGTACTTTGCTGTTGCAGTTCTGAAATTAATGAAGTGTGCATGGATTATTGCTGCACGTATTTTACTTCAAAGCTGTTTATTCCCCAGAAGTCAGAGGCTTTGCATGTCTGTTAATATAGTAGTTTCCAGGCCACTTTTCTAATACAAACTTCTAGGTTTTGACTCAATGCCAGAGGAGCAAAAAGCAGCAAAATAACATCCTTACCTTTGCAGCTGTGACCACAACATAAAATCGAGCAGGAGGAAGAGCTGATGCTGGGGGTTGTTTTCACTACACTTAAGGCACCTTAAGTGTTGGAGCTCACACAAAGAGACAGGCCCACACGTGCCCTCCCTAACAATGTGGCTGTTAGGGCACTTGACCTTTTTTTTTATACCTGCCACAGTTTAGCCAGCACAGGTGAACTCAACTTACCTGTTAAAAAACATAGCTCCATGCAAGCACTGCTATTGCACAGCAGTTTCTTTTATTTGCCTGTACTACCTTACCTAGTCTGCAGCACAGCCCTTAGAGCAGCTCCGAGGATGGTTTGGTAGCAACCCAGCTTGTGGTTGTTCTGAGAATTAGGAGGGAGCTCTAGGTACAGATCTGAAGGCCACATCAGCTCTAGCCTACTTCTGTGCAGACTCCTCACTGCTTATCCAACTCCCAACTGTACGAGTGCTACAGAAACAAAAGTCAACAACAAATGTGCGTGACCGCTTGATCTTGAAATGCTTGCATATTCAAGTGAGGGGGAGGGGAGAGGGGAAAAAAAGGGACTTAGCTGGATTTTTCTATTTCTCTATAATGCTGTTAGTGACTCAGTCTACAGTTTTGAGCTGTGATTTTGCATAACTGAGGAGGTTGCAGAAAAAGGCTGTATTGTTTCTCAGTTTCTGGAAGTAAGCAACAGTTACATGACTATAAAGCTAGTGTAGGAGCTAACCTCTTGAAGATGCAGTCTTACTTTTTTCTACTCAGCGTATCATAAGGAATAGAAACTATTTGAGAGTGTACTTCTGAAAAGTTACCTGATACGGAAGAAGACTTGAAATTTTACTAACATGGTTCCAGTTGTCAGTTCAGCATTGCTGCTTAGTCTTTTCCTTGTTGCGAGCAACTTGAAAAGCATCACCAGCTACTTATACTGACATTTGCTTTTAAACGTGTTTCAGGGATGCTTTCTGGTATTGGAGTGTCTTTAGTTAAGTGATAGAATACTTTCATCTGGTGGGGTGGCAGTGGTGTTTTTTCTTGTTTAACAACTGCACAGCAGTAGTAACAGTTGTGTTTAACCCCCTCCCTGCCCCCCTTCTTCCCCCAGGGCAGAGTAATTTGCTTTTCTTGGTATTTACATATTTTCATTAAGTGATTGCACAGCATTCCACCAGCTAAAATGCATAGTCCCTGTTTCCGGAGCTGTCTCAGAGTACTCTGGATATCCTCAGTACACAGCAGATAATTTGGAGGGTTTTGCCCTGCCTTTCTCACCCCTCCCTACACCAAATAAAAAAGTCATTCCTGCTATTAATTTGATCACTACACTAAACATAGTAAGGCCAGTTATCTGTTACCTAAAAACGGATTCTGCCATCATGTTATTAGACCTCTTATAGATCAAACTGGAGGCACATGAACAGGGAATGTTTTCCTTTTTCATATCTGTAGCTGTATCTGCTTTGAAGAATGTCTTTGTAAGCTTCTCCCATTAACTAACAAAGAGATAGAAATCTTCCACATCCCTGTGTGCCTTCTCCAGCTGCGGATTAACTTCATTAATGGCAGCAGTAATCTCCCAGTCTGTCTGGCAGGTGTTGATCTGTGCTCTAGCACAAGTGTAGATTTTCACTTTGATGATGTTAAATGAGTTAGAGCCAAGAGTGTGCTTTTGAAGCAGATTGTCTCCATGTACTACACTTTGACTTGAAGTTTTCAGATGGACCACGAGAGGCTGCACCGCAGGAGAATGCCTAACACCCTTCACAACTCATAGGTGGGAAAGTCCATGAGACCAGGCAAGAGCTAGTCTAAACAAACCACACACACAAAAGCCATATAGTGGGAACACAGCCCTCAGCATCAGGTATTTTGATTTACAGACCTGTACTTACTTCTGATGTAGATATAGCCAGCAGTAATTATAAGAGAGATCAGTCTAGCATTAAAATAATTAGAAATTGATGTATTGAACTCCCCCAGAAGGAAGACCCATAAGGACCGGGAATATCCATAGGGAAGTTTCATCCAACAGAAGTCTAACACAGTCCCAAATACCTCAGACCAGTGCTTTCCTATCTTTAGCACCCTACAGGAGTCTCTGCAGCTGGTTGTATAGTGTTGATGAACACCACAAATTGAAGGTGTAAACACAGGGTGGTACACTGAGATCGGGACTGCTTGAAAAGACATGCTCATCTGAACAACATTCATTTTAATGTAACATGAAAAATTCACCTGAAGCTGGGAAATGTATGTAGGGTACTTAGAAGGTAGGAGAAAATAAGGAGATACTCAGAATACAGACACATTTGTAGATACAGGGTGACTAGACTGCCTAACAAGAGTTGACTTTGGCAGGTTCTAGGTAGAAGGAACACAAGTCTTGCCAGAGACACAAATTAACAGTAAAGCAGGGATTAGTGTCCTGTTCATGGCATAAGAGAACCATGAAAGTGGTGTTAACATTAAAACCAGGCACAGAAACTTAAGTTAGAAGATTAGGGAACTGCAAGAATCTACTCTGGAAAGCATGCTAGGTAAGCGTGATTAGGCTTGATTAGATGCATTTGGAGGCAATTCAGATGCTTTCCATATAGGTGTGGTTTTTTAGAGATTGCTGCTGGGCTGCTCTTCAGCCTGCTGAGGAAAAAAGTGTAAACGAGTAGGAGAAAGCCAGAGCTAGTCAGGTAGAAAGTCAAGGACAATGTAGATAGACACACAGTGAGGAGAAAAAGCCATGAAATACT